CATCCCAAGTCTCACAAAATTCGACAAGAAGTTCCTCCTGCCAAAACCTCACAAAACCTGCTGTTGGAGTATGGCAGGTTTTGGGTAGTTAGGGTTAATGGACGGACTTCAGCTGTAAGCTGCCGCCGAGCTGTGAGCTTTCTGGGAGTCGAGATGGCTTCAGAAATGTTAAAGAGTATGGTTGCAAGTGGATGTTAAGCGCATTTAGAGCCCCTTGATACTGAAATGTGTCATATGAATACATTACAATGCCAACCTTCCTTACACTTGTCTCGTCAAAGAACTGTTTGAGGCATCTCCCTCACAGATGTGGGTGAAAAAAAGCCCTATTACCTGACGAGGTGATAGTCTGTTTTGTACTGTCGGACTTCCCTGTAGTTGATGCCGTTGCTCATCTCCTCTTTCTTGCCCCCCTCGATCAGGACGTCATCCATGAAGCTCAGCTCGCCCTATGCAAACATGACAGAACACCATGTTACTGAAGCTGAAAGGGGGGGGGTGGGTTGGAGAAAAACATAGACAGCAGAAGGATGTTTGAGGCGTGGTTGATGGGGAGACGGTGGTGGGAGACAAAAGCATCTAAAATGGACTCGTCTCCATCCTTCAAAAGCCCATGGATTTACCTCCGAGCTCGTAAATTATTTTTGAAGAGTGCCTGGCATTTTCACTAAGAGGACAGTGGCGTGTCCTCGCTAACTGATCTGCATTGCACTTCTGGGTTTCCTGGTATTGCAACTGAATATGAACTCACTACAGGAGTGATTCGTCACCGTCCGACTACTGGACTGTATATATACCTCACCTGATAAACTTTGTCTTCATTGCACCTGCTAAATTACTTACAAGTATCAAAGCATATGCAAAGACTTTCTTCTGTCATTTACAGTCTTTATTTATTCACAAGTAGCTTTTTACCGAAAGCTCTTTCCAACATTGAGCTCACAGTATACATGTACTCACAAACATGTGACTAAAACAACAATGAACAAATCAGTGCGTTCAATGACCTGGCACCAACCTGACCAATGCTGACTGTGCGGAGCAGTATACCCAGCAAGAAATGAGACCGAGGGGTACCCCCCCAACATGTCCAATCCCTATACACATTCCAAACTACTGTTACTTAACACATCCCCCAAGATGTCTGAAAGGAATTCCCCAGATTCCTGCGAGACAATGACCAACACAAAGCAGGGGGGATTCTCTCCATCTCATACCTTGCTGCATATGTAGCAGACACCAGCCACTAATCCAATTACATCCCAATCTTCCCTTAATCCCCTCACAACAATAGTAATCAACATAAGGCCACTGCAGGCTTGTAAGCCAGTGACAAGAGAGTTTATTGCCCTTGTCCCCAGGGATGGTTTGTGAAAGGACTCAAAGATAAAACAAGTTGTTTTCTTGTGGGCATTTGTAAAGGCTAACTGTTCTAAAGAGTTACAGCATATTTACAAAAAGATGTTCAAGCTGTCCGACACCCGTTTCAGAGAGGCGTTCTACAGTTGCAGTCGCACCACATAAAAAGCAAATTTTGAATGAAGTACAGCAAAAGCTCGACATCTGAAACAATTAGGAGCAACGAGGCGTGCTAGCAGGTGAAAGATCAACACTTTGAGGTGCTCGGAACGACATCAGAGAGACTTGGTTTCAGACGTCCCTCTTCTCATGAGCCGAACCCAGTGCCCGTGTATGTATTAAGTTCATCTGTCTGAAACCACAATTTAATTGCGTCAACCTGAGTCGCTCTTAATTCTATTTGGTTCAGTGCAACGCTAGAATGCCTGTCTGAACAGGTGTAACTTCATGGACAAAAGCCAACCAAAGAAACCCAGGGCATCCCCCCTTGCCTCTGTCTAGAATTACTGTCTGTAAAAGCTCTGACAAGCACTGTAACCTTCCACGAGTTCAGCCATAAATGCTTTTCTTATTGATTCAAATCATTAGTAGAAAGCATGACATCTAAATGAAGCTGCATCCTACCTTCTTCTTGAGGCTATTTTCAGACAAGTAGGTGTTTGTCTGAAGAAGTGATACCAAATCTTTATAAATGCTTCGCTGAACTGTGGGGGAAAAATGTTAAATAGGGTAAGTCTTCTTTGACTTATTTCCTTTGCATCAACTCTTTCTGCTCTTCCTTTGTTGCAAAAGTATTGGTAAATGTGGAAAAGTACAACTGAATACCTCTGGAAAAATTCTCTGATCACACCGCTGGAACATGTAGAATTCATCAGGCTAAAACAATAACATCCTAAATTGTTTACACAGCATGTCCCTTTTCAAATGTTTTCAGCAATCCTTAGACAGAAGATATTGATAAACATAATTTTAATGGTTACTAATACAGAAATTATCCTAATTAACTAAAAGAACTGGTTTAAGATTTCAAGTTGGTGACAGCAGTCAGTCCCTTTAATGCATTTGTTTATAGCTTTTCCTTGAAATTAACTGTGAGAAAAACTGTCTTACTGGAGTCGCCTATGATGACGACAAATTTGTTCCACAGAAGGTTGACGACATCTTCATGCAGAAATATGGCCATGGCTGACTGTTAACTGGTGTCTGAGTTTTACTAAAGGCTGCCAACTCCTACATAACCAGACTTCCCTCCACTTCTCACTCCGAAGACAGTTTTTGTCTTTTGGGGGGGTTGGTCATGGGTAAGGTGGAGAAAGCAAAATGGAAAATGAAACTTCAGGAACAAGCAATGAAAAAACAATGCTGCTACGAACTGTTAACTCATTGCATGGAGTGACCTGAAACACACAAAGTAGGCCTATGTACACTACAACAATAACGTTTATAGAGACTTGAAGTAGCTTAAAAGCTCAGTACAGAAACTAACAACCACATGTTTATATCTACTCAGTTCCTGGCCTAACCTAGTCCGAGCCACCAGGACCCTATTAATCAGTGTTTAAACATTAGGACCAAATGTTGAAAAGGCAATTTCCATTATTTTCATATGGTTCTAGACCTAGTTGATAATAGGCCTTACCACGGACAGCCTGACCCTTTCATGTTCAACTTCAAGTTCATACAAATCAAACGGGCAAAATCATACTGAAAAGGAAATTCGCTTTTCATCACTAAGGTAGGCCTGCCAGAAAGTCAGCATAGTCATGGTAGTGCTTTTTTTTAAAGGGCCTAATCTTCGATTTTTCTACTTTAATGGGATGAACCTGAGCACAAGTACGTACAAGCCCACGGCCCAAGTAAAGGGCAAAGTATGCATGAGCAAACTGGGTGCGTTGACTGCATGCATGCACGCCGGGCCTAACAAGCATGGAGGAAAGCGAGGTTAGCTGTCATCCGATTCTTGGCCTTTGTTAATCAGATTTCTTACTGAACAGGCTGTTTATTTACACTACGTAACTAATGAACATGTTAATATCTTACAAGCCAGCTAGGTTGGACAACGAAAGGTCCCTTGGACGACCACGATCGACGAGAAACTCGGCCGAATCGGGCAACCTGTCAGGCCATCACGTCAACTCATCTTAGACGCGTGCAAGAAGCTACATAATAATACGCCCTATTGGGCGCGCTACTTACCATGATGAACGTAGTGGGATTCGCGCAAAACTTATAGCCCATTTGGGCTTTATATCCGTATATGCAAATCACTTAACTCTTCGAACTTTCCACCAATCAACCATAAGTGATTACAAGGTTGCGTGCAAACCCAAATGCTTCAAAATAAAGTATTTGTTGCGAGGGTAAAGCGAACATTTCATTGAGTTGTAAGCCCTGATACACCAAGAAAAATACAGAAAATAATTTTCAACATATTAACATGAAAATGAATACAATCTGGGGGACTGAGCCCCGAAAATCCAACTCTCACCCTCTTTGAAGAAAACTTCCATTGTCCTTCCTCCTTGGTCTTACACTTTGCAGCAATAGCCAAGATCTTCATCAATTAGAATATTAAATTGATAAATGCAGTTTGAAATTAACAAAAAGTACACAGACAAGAAAGGATCACAATATCTGCCAACTATTCAAACAGACTTGCATCCAAGTTCGCAGTGACAGAAACAATACCATGCAGACATTGCAGACATGCAGGGACACAAATTTAATGCACATTCGTCATAAGATTAATTTCACTTTAAAAATTTCTATTTATTTTCATGTTTTATTGTTTTATTTATTTTATGTTTGTAATTCATATACCTTAAATACCTAAAACAGTTTAGTTATTCCTACTGGTTGACAGCCCATTACATGGCCAATCTTACACGGTTGATAAATCATGGGCTTGCTGTGCACCACCTCATGCAGTACATGCCATGCGCCTGCCCATCTCCAAATAAGGAGACTGTTTATGACTTCTCACGAGAGGAACATTCCATGACGTGGTGAGAGGGGTGTTTAGAAAAAAAATGAAGTAAAATTATTGAAGAAAATTGCTGGAAACATACAATTGTTTAACCTGTTGCAACTTTGTGACTCGAGGGTGCTTACTAAGACGCAATATACCCTAACTCTGATCCAAGGAACTAGTGCAAAAGTGTGAACCTGACAGTTTTAAAGAGACAAATTTCTGATTGCGAACACTATTGTCAAGATTTTGGATTGTGCACTGGCATCCCCAGTGTATCACTGACACTGAATCAGAATAATGGGTGAGGGTTAATGTAAAAGATCCCCTATTTTCCAAATGCAATTTTTTTGCTAGGCGTGTAGAAGTTTTTCTGCTCATGTCTTACAGTTATTTTCATACCCTTTTAAAGAAAATCAGAGGAATTGTTATCACAAAATGTTCGTTGTTCTGAGAACAGGAAAGCCAAAAAAGGGTTGACTTTCCCACTGGTGTGTTCAATGCATTGGCTGTGACAACTGAGAAAGACTAACACAAATGACCATAGCCGGAAAATCCTCCATTGGATTGAATTGAAACTTCACAGATTTAGTCAACAAGACGGTCACGATGGGGGGAGGGGGGAAGAATCCATCTACCCCTGCTGCCAGGTCCAAAAATATCAAACCCATTTGGAGTTTAAACAAAGAAATATTCTGCTGCAGCCAACGTGCATTTTAAGAAAGACGTAGACTTAACAGTTATAAGAAATATTTCATTTGGCATACATACATCAGCAAGGAGATAATACTGGTCATGAATACTATCAGGGATAGATACTGTGTGATTTTGTTTCACTTTATTGGCATTGGAATTCAATTTTTTTTTGCACCTCACAATTAATGCCCTTCGCAGTGTTGCTCTTCTGAAGGGCTCTGGTCATCTAAAGGCGCCATCAATTGCTGAGTGTTCCACTTTAAAACATGACAATGGGCCCTGGTTTAGACGATACGTACAAGACTTCTTGCTTGCCACGGGTAATTTACTGTTGCAGCATCTGTGTGGTTCTGCCATTGCTTAGCAGAGAAGGAACAAAATTATGGTTGGAAATGTCATCCACAGATACTGTAGTAATAAGACCCTCGTGAAGCGGTCATCAATCAGCCCCAAATCAACCATTACTCAACATGGATCACGGCTACTCCTGCCTAAATAGATTTTAGCAAACTGCACGATAAAAAAGGTGTCGCCGCGGCTGATATAGCTCAGATCTTCACTTTTTAGGTGAACCCAGCATCATCCTGTTCAAGAGAAAAAGAAAACATCTTTGAATGGGCACACGCGTATGTCATCAGTTGCTGATGCTGTGAGTGGATGTTCGCTCAGTAAATATTAATCAAAAACTTTAGTTGCACACGGAAATAATTTTTTGGGTGGGGGGGTAGACATTTCATTTCTGTTCTTACTTCAAAAAAGATGAGACAGTTTTTCTTGAAAAAAAAAAAAAGGTGTCCCACTTAAAAGAACGCCCCCCAGCATTGCAAAAAATTGATTGTTCTGCTTTAAAACAAACAGCTTTTGAGGATAGAGTGACACAGTATGACAGTTTTGGTCTTACCACAAATTCCTGGCTTTGACTGCTTCTTTCCTGACCACTCTTTTCTTGTCATCCAGTCTGGGTATCAGACCCCTGGCTACCTTTAGTTTATGCGGGAAAACCTGCAGCAAGAGGAATGTGAGGTCATGGCTATTCTGCCTAAACTGGACAGACATCTCTTTACTCACAAGTGCTTAAAAAGATGCAGTCTCTTCAAACAATTAACTCATCTTCCATATTCTCCATTTGCTAATTCAAATAAAGTACCGAATGAACCATTCCGGATGAGAATGGAAAATGGCAATACATTTCAAACAAATTTACGGCTGGTTCATCTTTTCTCATCAGGTTAATGACTACTCAAATTTAACTTCGATAAAATTCAAATCACTCACTTTATGGTGCTCAAGGGTGGTCAGTTCACCAATACACTTCAAGGCACCAACTCTCACTTTCTGCAGAGTCATATTGACATTTGTTGCGTAAGAAAATGTGTCAAAGGCATCATCTAAGGTACAAGTACTCATATGACATACGACAGGTTGAAGGCTTCAGAACAAATGGCAGAGAAATGGTTAACAATGGCTCCCCCAATGAGACAGCCTTAAAATGGTTCAAACTGCAAACATTACCCACAGTGAAGATGCCGGGTATTTGGCCGACTAGGGAATGCTTTGTGAACTGGTTGGAGTAAGTAAACAATCATCGTACTCATGGAAATGTGAAAATACCCAAAACCTACACTAACCCTTGACCTTTGACCTAGAAAGTGAACTAGCAGTGTATGCCTGACCTCAACACATAGAGGTGCATCCTAATCTGCTATTAGCAAGATAAAAAACATGCGTCAACCTGATTTAGAGCTCACCATGGATGCTTCGCAGCCTGAAAGCCTCAAGAGATCGGGCAGCAACGAATCCACGTACTGTGAGATGATGCCCGGGGCATCATGGGTCAGCAAGGCCAGCCTCTCCAGGACGGACTCATACAGGGCGCTGTCCTCCTGGTGCAGGGACTGGACCAGAAGGGGCATGAGAGGCGGGAGTTCGCTGAGAAGGACCTGGCGGGGCACGAAGTGGAGGAGATGGGAGAGGGATAGGAGGTAGTTTTTCTTCGTCCCTGAGGCGGTGCGTGTGGAAAATAGGTGATTGAGATAAAAACAACAATTCACATTATGTAAAAGGTTACATAAATGGGAAAAATGAGTGAGACAAAAAAAACGGTTGCAACTGTCTATGAAATTTTGCCAGTGTAATTTAGAATTCTGAAGATAGGCACGGTGAAGTCTTATTCTAAAGAAAGAAAAACCTCTTGGACATGACCGTTTTAAAAGTAAAATTGTAACTTTTTTGAACTTGTTTAAAATTGTTAACAGTAAAAACTGTCAGGGCTGCTCAACCTTGTGCTGTTTTGCAGTGACCCTCGATAATCCCAGGTAGTAGCTGGAGAAACAGGCGTTGGCGGTACATCAGCTTCACGTCGGCGTGGGAGGAAGGGTGCAGGACATCTTCGCTGTCGCTCAGGATGACAAACAACCCCTGGGCGGATGAGCTGCCCAGGGTGTCATCCTCAAACAAACTGACAAGACGAGATGCTAAGTCGTTGCAAGAAGGATGTGACCTCAGGAGGAACGCTTTGGTCAGCTGAGTGTAAGAAACCACAAAAAGGAGTTTCTATTTCAGTTCTTCCAAATAAAAAGCAATATTTATGACAAGATGTAGAGACCGTATAAAAATAAACGAAAATGACTACTGTTGCCTGGTGTTTATTTAAATATGGAAAAATTATTCCAGAGCTTGGGTTGAAGCCAAAGCCACAAACTAAGCCAAGTTTTGGAAAATGGCCCATGCTTACGACAAAGTGGACTTTACCCATATCCAGCAGGTCAATGACCTCTGCCTTGTTTCTCCTGCACTGCTTGATTGAAGCCTGGGCAACAAGTGCTGCTTACACATTTCTATAAGCTGATCCAGCTCAGGTCCTAACAGAAGAGAACAAGGACCACATCACTCTGACCAACTCAATAAAACACGTGGGCTGCATGAGGTGGGTTTTTGCTGTGGGTATGGTTTTGCCACGGACGAGTGACAGCGGTGGGCCGTAGTCTGGGACAGTAAACATTCCACATCGACAGGGTTGACCAAGGAAGAGAACTCATGAAAATGGAAGCTGCTGGCGTTGTCATTGCTACACCTGAGAGCGCGCTCTATCAGCATTGCTCAGAGCAAATCAAAACCCCCACATGGGTTAAAATCTGTGCGGCCATTCTCTTTGTATAAAGAAAAGATATCCAACAAACCTGCACCAAACTTGTTGAGGAGTCCAGCCAGGCACTTTGCAGCGGTCGTTGCGGTCAGCTCGTGGTCACTGCCTGTGGACAGCGCCAACAGGCTGGGTAACAACTCTGACTCGTTAGGGATGGTCACTCCTCTGCGGACAGAGCAGATGCAGGCGGTCAGCAAGACCACCAGCTGGCTTTGTGGCCAAGGGGAACCAATCTGGATGGATGAAAAAAATGGAAAAAAAATCCACTTTCTGAGGTTTGGGAACAATAAATAGAGTTTACGTTCATAACTCTAATCTAGTTCCATGAAAATAAGATTCTATTCTTAGAATTTCTGCATTTTATCTTAATTAACTGAAAATCCACATGGAACCGTCTAGGATGTTTCAAGACATCACCTCTAGAGGTTTGAATACTGCATCTAATTCTGAATTCTCTGTTGACCCGATGCTGCTGACTTTGTTGAGGTTTTGCTGGTGAAACACCTCTATGTACTGCTGACAAAGTTCTGAAGCCAAACTGAAACAAAAAAAGGGAACACACAATGCACAAATTGTAAAAGCTGCGTAAATCTCTCTGAAATAGAGATACTGGTGACAAAGTTAACAAATTGGGAACAAAATCAAAATCTTCATCTTCTAGGTTGCATGGTTGGTCCATTAATGTGCTGTTTTGACGCCAATGTGACTCACAGAAGTTGCTCAAAAAACTTCTTAAAAGAAATTCTACTGAACTCAAAATATGCTCAATCAATCAATGAAAAAAAAACAGGTGAGATTACAACAGTCGTCACCACAGAATTGCACGATTGCTACCACCACCCAACCCAACATTATCACCAATAAAAAGAACGAAAAAAAAAAATCCTACCTTGACTCAAGACACTGCACCACATTCCTTACAATGGCAGCCAGAAGTACAATGACCTCTTCCCTGCATAACAACTGGCTGGTATCGACCTCTGATGACCTTGGTTCCAAAGCGGCCTTAAGGGACATCCACAGGATTTCGGGCAAGAGTTTCCGGTGGAAGAAGCTGAGGTTTGTAGGGTCCGTCCTGCTATTGGCAACAATTGCCAGGATGCTTTTGCATGTCCAGATGCACTCTTCTGCTTTCGATGTGGCATCACCTACAATGCAATATGACAGTTAAGATCGTCAATCTAATCTAATGCTTAGCACAATCAATTGATCACGCTGTGCTTTCGGTCAATACTGTGCAAATCTCAGACTTGCCTTCTTCCATACCATGAATTAGAACCGTGAATTGGCTGATGGTAGGAGAAACGACAGATTGTGCTGCAAATTTGGACTGACAGAGCAACAATCGATCAAACACGCCAGTTAACTGATTACATACACAAGAAGCAGTTGAGACTACCTTGATTCTGGTGGCCATGTTTACATGAAGCACCAGTTAAATCATGCCAAATCCTGCCACACTGTTGTATCGTTGGACTTGTCAGTGCTTTTCTGGAGCAGTCACAGTTTGAAGGAAGCAACCTTTATTCACGGAAGACCTCGTGCGTGTATTGCTGATCCAAATGACCTTGGGTGTGCTTGAAACACCTAACTAGCTCCATGTACTTACCATTACTAAGTGACTGGAGGTGGACCAATAGTCTGTCCACTATACATTCGACTAAAGTGGGCTGTGTTGCTAGGGCGGCCATGCTGCTCAGAAGGGCATGATGGGATATGTGTGGCACTGTTTGGTTGTCTCCTTCTGCTTCCACTTCCATTTGTTCTACTCAACCCAAAAGGAGTGAGCAACAGGTCAAATGCATGTAAAACCAGTGTGCAGAAGACTCAAAAAAGTCTTTTGGGGGTTTTATCCACAGCCTTGGAAGTATGTTAATTTTCAAACATATAATTCGCTAACTCTCAACTACTAAACAATGCACAACATTGTGCACTTTAAGTTTTTACAAAACCTTGGCTTCGGGGGCTCAGTGTAGCTTCAAGATTCAAAGTCTACAGCTGAAGGATATTAGGCTTTACAGTATAGGATTCACAGGAAAGGTGAAGGCAAGGCCAGCGACTGAGTCAAGGTTGGGTAAGTGGCTAGCTAGTGGCTTGCATGGGTGTACATTCTGTTGCCAGCCGTAGCCTAGTCATTTAGATGTGGCTCAAGCTACAAATAAATTCCTATATTGACACAGTTTGTTTGTACCTGTTTTTAACTGCTCCAGAAATGCTGGCAGGACCTTTTCTGCGGTGAGTGATGGGTAATGGGTTGCTATGTGAGTCAGGGCATTGACACAGTCTTGCCTGGGTGAGAGAAACCCAGAAAAACTGGAGGCTTCAGACAAGGTCTTCGTTTGCTAAATCTTGGAGAAAATTCATGCACATTTATATAATTCCACAAAGTAAAACACAGCCAGTTCTTTTCAAATATCTGACCAACTCACCTCAAATCCTCGTTGACATCAATGAGGAATGTCTTGGTCATATGCTCTGCAACCAGAACCACATCATCTTCCTCGAGGAGCCCCTTAGTCTCTACCAAGACACTCAATCCTGCCGCTGACACTGATTTGAGAGAAGTGTTGGTCTCGGACAGCACGGACAGGAGAACGGAAAGCAGTGCATCCTTGTGGAGAGAGACAGGGTTGGGGAAATCGGTGTAGGGAAAGGCCAGGGAAACCCGGACGAATGCTTGGAGAATGGAGAGAATACTCTGCCTCTGCTTCGCCTGGATCAAAAACGGGAAGCAACACTGAGAATCCAACTCAGGTGGAACACGTTCAACTTTATCCCACTGCTGCCACCACTTTATAAAGGGGTGGCAGCAGTGGGATAGAATGAAATGTGACTCCTTAATGAATTCCTGACACTCGAAAAGCCTTGAAAGCTGTGAACTTGTTTCTCCATGGTAAATTTCAGACAAAAAAGATCTTGTACAAAAGTCTCACATCTGCTCAATTTTATTACTTATTACCGAAGTAGTGATATTGACATTAAATCACGGTAGAATTTCTGAAAAAGGGTTGCAAACAGCACATCAGAATTTAAGCCAGCCGATGTCAGTTTTGATATATAGAGCAGCTACATTTTTCACCTGCAGATGTTTGCCGAACTGGTCAAGCAGCAAGGGAAGTGTGTACGCCAAGACCTTGCTACACACAGCCTCCGAAGAGCTTGCCACGGCTTGCAGAAGGCGACAGCTCGGATGGATGAACCTCATGTCAGGCTCGTTAATGTGCTTCTGTGATTCTGCGAGCAAAGACAAAAAAAACAAACCACATTCCAATCACGTGAAAAGGAATACATCAAGAAAGAATACACCACTGCCTTCTCCAAACTTTTGGGGAAACAGCAAATGCTTGTTACCTACCTTTGAGGATGTCATCCAGGAAACAGTCCAGAGAAAACATGGCACCCTCCTCCGTCTTGTCGTCAGATACCGCCTTGACGACGCAGCACAGGCATCCGAGTGCAGCCTGCTCAACCTCTTGGCTGAAGGACTGAAACACCTGGCAAACAAGAGTGGTGCATTACTCATTGTCTTTAGAGTATAAAAAGTGTGGTAGGCTTTGTAAAACCCGTAAGCACGGGTCAGTGGTTGAAATCCAGCTGCTGGCAACATGTGTCCCTGGGCAAGCCACTTTACATCCACTTACCTCCCTACATCCAGGAGTGTAGATAAGCACCGGCATTAGCTGAAGATGCCAGAATACCTTCAGTCATTTCATGCCAAGAGACTCAAGATCCTCACTAGAAATATTAGATCCTCCAGGACAGACTGTTTTTTCCTTAACAGACAGGGAAATACTGCACAGGGCTTGGCTAAAGACACCTATCAATTCTGGAATGCTAAACATGAGGCCTTTGTGTATTGACCGACAGGCTCCAGGCCAGTAGGAATGGTTACACTACCTGCAGTACTTCTAACTTTGCCGTTTAGAAACCACTCACATCTTTCCTGCAGTACGACCAGACGGCCTCCAAGTAATCCTTGAGATGCTTGGCCCCGTAGACCGGAGAGCAAGCTGCCAGAGTCTCAAAGGCGTCCAGCTTGGCTCCCTGCAACTCGGAGGAGAGCTTCTCCATCAGTAAGGGAAGGCAGAACTGGGAGTGACAGAGAGGGAAAGAAGATGATAACTAGCTGCATGGAGATGCTGACTACAATTGGTTTGGGAGCTGAATGTTATCAATTGGATATTCTGACGTACAAAAAAGACACCATCGACACATCTGACCACCTCTTAAAACAGACGCTCACAATTTAGAGGCTGAACTGCCCTCAATCTTTGACTTCCTTCAAAATTTGCTGAGACATCCTATCTCTGCATCCCTGGGCCACAGTATCATGCTGGTGTTGCAGAAAGCAGCGAATCAGCCAGAATTTGGCAGCACTTAGCTCAACACAGAATGAAACAGCTATTTCACAGCTATATCGATGCAAAGAAAAGAAATTTTGACTGAGCAGTTTCTTGTGTTAGTTTTTCCCATTGAATTAAAAAAATACTGGCAAGCTTTAAGAGGCTTTCAGTAATACAAACGAGGCAAGACAACGTAAAAAAAATCACCTCTGCAAATTTAGGTGTGGCAGCAAGGCAGCTGCGAAGGCCTGCCACCAGCATCTCTGTCGTGATGCCATGAGGGTCGTTGGGCGGTGGCCGGAAGTCAATAGGAAAGTAGCAAGATGTCACCTCAAAAAGCTCCTCGGCAAAAATGTCTGAGGAGGGGGAAATTTATAATCTCTTCATTAATTAAAATCTGTTAATAATCAAATGCTGAACTCAGGTTACCCATTACAACAAAATCAATCTGACAACTGCCAACAAAATTGGAGGTGACCACTGACCTCAAACCTTGGGTTGAGTCACCTTGACTGATTTGTACAGATACACTATGATACTAAACAGCTGATCAAAACCGGGCCAGAATTGGGTAACGTACTGATGGGGAAGTGGTCAATCAAGGTCTGGACAGTCTGGAAGGCCATGACCAAGTTGCGGGGATCTTTCTCTCTGTCCATGGCCTGGATAAAGCCATACACAAACTCTGACCCCAACTCCCGCAGCTCTGCAAGGGGTAGCAAACAAAGATTACTAGCTCTCACACCGAAATTGCCAAATGTTTGTTAAGCTCTGCATTCTTTACATCCTATTGTTAAGCAGCTCACAGTAAACAAAATAACAGGCAATGATTAGTAACATGACATTAAGAGCAAGTTGGTTCTACTGAATTAATGTTTTGGGCTCATTTGGCAACTATTGAAAAAATATTTCCACACGGTATCAGTTCAGGATTGAAAGACTCTTACAACCATCGAAACATTTCTGTACACTCACAGAGAGCAGAACGCTTGACAAATTTCCATAATATCTTCGTCTTTTTTTTGTCATGCAAAACACCCTTCCATCTTGCAGTAATTTGCAAAAAAAAGGTTTTCCAGTCAATGAAGATACAGTTTGGTCCTTTCACAGTGGACGAACGACCTGCATCTGACAGTGAAAAAAAAATTTGATGCCAACCCAACCCAAGTTAACCCAACCAGGAAAACCCCTGGTTGTCAGAAACAACAAGTCTCACCCTCAAGTCTGGAATACAGGAAGTTGCTGATGATTGAGAAGACGGACTGCCTGTCTGCCTGCACCAGGGTCTGCACCCTGACCTCCTTGAAGAGGTTGAGGCAGATTTTCGCTGCATCCCCGGCCGGCAAAGAAGTACAGATGCTCTGGAGTTGCAAGTCCAATGAAACACGCAAAATGTTGGATTTCTCATGTCAAAAACGACTAGCATTCCAGAACTTAAAAGTTAAATTGTTAGGTTTGTCAGTACATTATTCCTTTAGGGCATTTCATTAAAGAGTGCCAAAGTCTAGTGTTCAACACACATACTGTGGCATGTGGGTTAAAACACTAATAAGGAATGTGAAGCTTGTATTCTTGGGCAAGACACTTAACTGGAAGGAAGTAAATGGGTACATTTCTATACATGCATATATAGAGAACTTGTCAAACTGATCTTAAACTGCTGCTTGAAATCATTTTGATCACGTTGCCTGGTGAACAGAGGTTATAAACGTGAAACAATTTAAGACATTTGTGAAGAATCACACTGGCGTCACATTATTATAAGATTTTTTTAACTTGGGAATCCTACCAGAGAAAGCAGGCCGTAAATGGCATGCGGAGTGATGGAATGATGGTCTTTCAATCGGTCGCAGAAGAACGCTGCCAGTAACCCAGCTTACAACGACAACGAAATAAACAATAATTATTTATTCATTTATAAAGTACAAATTTCATACGATTGCATTGTACAATGAACATTTAACTACAATGTGGTTGAGTCACAGGCATACAAGGGGTGAGTTCAAGTATTGTCCTTTAACCCTAACACTCCTCAATCCTTCACTTGTTGGAAGACTGAGGACTGTTAGGGTTAGATCATTTGAAGTCCTTTCAAAAGTCCAGACACAAGCAGTAAGGTGAAGTAGTAATAACAGCTTTTGTTGTTCATTTGAATAGCTTGTGAGTTCGATCAAACAGGAGGTCTTGTGTTGGTGTTGCGGTCCTGTGGGTTCTTATGATGGTCTCCAGAAGTCTCAACTGCAACATGCTGGTGAGTTTTTGAAAAAGAAGCCGATGCCAAATGCCGCCTCCACTCAAATTCACTTCTAATCACTTCATTTCCTGAATCAGATTTATTCCCTTTTTTGTTATTTTTGTTCAGTATGTGTGGCACTACTTACTCTCCTCTGCTGAGAGCTTGTCCCTCGGCAAACGATGAAGAATCTCAGCTAGCAATAAAGTACCTCTGCCTCGGATGTTACTTTCTTTGCTGGTGAGATATGGTCTTGAAAGATGTAAAAAAAACCATATTGGTCGAAAACAATTAAAGACTCACTTTTTTTCACAAACTTAATTGCTTATTTTGCTGTGAATAATCCTTTTTACCTAAAACATGATTCATCACAAATATGTAATGAACTGTTGTAAACTTTTAGTGTTTGTCTTTTTCAAAATTTCAAAGCAATTTATCTGTAATACACGGTACACTGGACGAATGAACAAAGTGTAACATGATCTTACCCAAGCATTTCAACAAGTTTCAACAGTGTGATGTCTCCATTGTTGACACCTGGGCAAAACAGACAATAATTGATCTACATGTACAAGCCTTGAAATTTTCTAAACTCTCTCCTCTGATGAAGTTTTCTAAACTCTCCGTCCAAATGGGCGCATACACATGTAGGCCTAGGTCGGCCTACGCCATGATGTAGGCTACTTTTACTTAGGATTAGGTATAGGCCCTTTCCATTTCTGTATTGTCAACACACCGATGGAGCAAATTACACGACTAATCCTTTTTCACACTAGTGAGTTTGTAAAAAAAAAAACCAACATACCACTGACTATCGTTGTAATTCCACTGTCCTGCTCTCCTCTGATGAAGTTTTCTAAACTCTCCGTCCAAATGGGCGCAGCCATCTTGAATTTAAATGATAGAGGAGTTCTCGGCTTGTAAAATGCTCTCGTGCGAGGTTAGAATTGATTTTTAATAAAATATCTGGAACATTCCAAAATGTGGGTATAATTGATTAAAATTACGTATTTCGTTCCTTTTCTGACTTTCATGGTTAGTACGATTTCTTTTATTGGCTTCAAAAGTTATTTCTACTTGCAAATCTCGCAGAATCCCCCACAGATGGAAAAGCAACTGTTTGGATTCCGCCTCACTACTCCTACATTTTGTGTAAAAATCGGTATGAGTACCAGACTACGTAAGTGCCTTTCCCGCACGTTACCACGGCACGGGTGTTTACTTGCTGTTCCGGTGCATTAGTGGATCCCGAAGAACAGTGAAGAAAGGAAGTCAAAAAATCTCCTTGGAATTGTTTTTGCAACCCTCCGGTCTCATGAGGGTTGAGGATGGGTGGTTGCTGGAGTGCTGGACATGATGGAGCCAGCGTTCGGGCCGATTCAACCGACGGGACACTCGGTTCAAGTGAGCACAAGTCATCGGGTCATGTCCACGACCTGCAGGACCATTCATGATGACCATGGTCCATCATTAATTGTCTTGACATGCTTGTCGAAGTCCGAATAACTATATGTAGGACTTAACCATGTCTACAAATTGCCTCTTTTAACATTTAGGCATTGTCACCGACCATGTCTAAATTTCATTGGTAGGGCTAATCATGTGACATGTATGATATGCTGATGTGTTAATGGTGTAGGTACAACTGTGGAAAAGTGCATGTATGACATGTTTCAAATTGTATATTTTGCCATGAACTGGTCCTGCATTTTTTTTCTGCTGTAACAACAAAAAATATACTGTACTTACCGATTGTAGGGTGACATGGGCAAGCATACGGGAATCATAAAAATATGACGGTACTGAGTTCAAATCTCATCATGACTTTTATTCCAAAATGAATATCTTTTATTGTTTTACATCAAGTATTTGATTTCCTATCCTGATTCATGCCTGCAGAAGATATTTAAGTTCAGAAGAAAGTCCCATTACACTATGTCTGAATCCTATCTCATGAATATGTGTAAGCACGAAATTAGGCAAAGATTTGTCATGGTGACATTGATTTGACATTTGGACAGTGATGTTAAGTCGTTGTGTTCTCATTTCAGTGCCTCTTGGCCGGAACCAACCACTCAAGCCAGAGAGCCCCAAGTGGAAGAGTGACGTACCCCTCACGGACGGCCAGCTGCGAAGCAAACGAGACGAATTCTGGGAGACAGCGCCAGCCTACGAGGGCAGGCGGGAGATCTGGGACGCTCTGAAAGGCGCAGCCCAGGCGATGGAGTCAGGGGACCATACACTAGCGCAGGCGATTATCGACGGGGCTAACATAACCTGTCCTAATGGTAAGCATTTTTCTTTTCAGTTTTACCTCCATTTTCATTTGTTACATTTTATCTTGCAAATCACACACAACCCTACAAAAGATTGCAACAGCATGAAGATAATGAAGAAAACAAAGAAGCGTTCAGTTTTTAGAGGTAATTAACACCCCAAATTAATAGTCCAGAAAGCCCTCAGAATTTGTGATGACATAAAAACCCAGTCCACATGCTGACATAGATGAGATTTGAACCTGGGTCACAGAGTCAATGGCAAGGGCAATACGTGTACCACTCTGCCAACCGGACTCTCCTTGGTCTTTCCCTTCGCTGTTGGCTGACTTTAAAAAAAAAGAACAATTTATTGTGATTTCTCACAGGAATGCTAACGGATTGCTATGACGAATTGGGAAATCGCTACGTACTGCCTGTCTACTGCCTCAGCCAGCCCATCAACATGGTGGAAGCGGAGAGCGAGTCAGACATAGGCCAGGAGGAGGCCCCACCCCCCATAGGGGGCGTGGAGACAACCATCAAGCTGCGGGTGTCGACGGGCAAGGATGTAAAGATGACAGTCCGGTCCACCGAGACCGTCCACCAGGTCAAGAAGCGCCTCCACACCCAGCTGGGGGTGGAGCCGGCCCGCCAGCGCTGGTACTTCTCGGGGAAACTGTTGACGGACAAAACGCGGATCGAGGACATCAAGATCCCCAAGGGATACATCGTACAGGTGATTGTGTCAGAGGCCAGCCCCACGCCGGTGGACGGATGACGGCAGGAGGAATTGACTAGGAAGAACTCGCTACTAGGATAGGGACGGTACATTGTGCTAGGCGGACTGGTGCCTTTCTCTTTCTCCCCATTAACACCCCTTCCCTTTCCCCTCCCCCCCCCCGGTGCTTGTCAGATGTGTCCCATGACAAGCATCCTCACGTTCCATGTTCATCGGGTAATACGGAGGAGCGACGTCCGCACTGTACAAAGTATCCGTTTTTGTTTTAGATTGATTTGCAGTTTGAGACAAATCAAAATCCCAGTGGATCTCTCAATTTGAAACAAGTCTAATGTTAAAAAAATAATCAAACAAAGAAACAAAAACTTGTACTTCAGTCCGTAATTGTGGCGAGTGTTCATTTTACTCTCAATCAGACCAATTTTTAAGATTAATAATTTCATCAGAGCACAACGTATTCTCCTATTCCACTTCTTTGTGACAACTCACCTGATGAAGTTTGGGATTTTGGGGTCGTGAATCCCCGCCTGGTTTCATGAACCTTCTTTACATACAATTCTATTTTAGAAAGATCACATCAAACCGATCACTGTATAGTCATTTTTTACATGTTCATATATTTGATGTGAAAGCACAGTCAATGTAAAGGTCTATGGTGGATACATAGACTGAAGAAAAAAGGGGCGCACCTCCTGGGATTAGGGGGGTCCGTGTGTACATGTATTTAAATGTCACTTGTGCACAAAAATCCAATTTCATATAGTTACAGTTTGCAATCATCCATCTGCACTTATATGTTCAAATCCAATACAATTCTCTCCTTTTATCTTTCAACATTTTTTTCCGAGAGCTTCACCTGCAGAATCAGCATAACCTACTTGCCATACACCATCAGTGAAAACAGCAGCAAAGTAGAATTATCACAAACACTGAAAACTTACAATTTAACATTTCCTGATGAGTGCTTCGTGGTGGCTCACACATCATTGTCAGAATATTTCAAGGTTCAGTGAGAGAGGCTGCCAAAGTTTGCATTCAAACTTGGCATTTAAACCACAAAACCTTTTATATTTGGTTTTGAACTGAAAATCCGACTGAGAATATTAACCTGAATTTACGGGTTAATTAAAGGTCGATATTAACTTATTAATAGTACTGGTTATTATCAACCTATCAATAAATCTAACAGGTTAATACCTGAAAATCTTAGCCCGTAGTACAGGTTAATATTAACGTAATATTCTTAATATCAACCCATTCATAAATATTACATGCTACTATTGACTCTTTAAATTCACTGGTTAATATAACACCTGGTTAGTGTTAGACTTAGGTAATGTCAAGATATTTTAAAATTTATATTGGTATTTTCCTTCCTGTTCTTAAAGTTAAAGTGTGCCAGTCTGAACCAGATCTGTCTCAGGTGAAGACCTTGAAACCCGTGAAGTTTAGTCATGCATTGGGACAGTTTTGTTTCTCTCTGAGTATGCCACTGTGGGGCTTAAGACGGTAAAGAAAAGATCAGTGAAGATCGGAAGACGACCTACATGAACTCCATATTGGATCCAAAACCTACATACACCACTCGTTTGCTTTTTTTGTCAACTTAACTGATAACACGCAAGTGCCTGTGACGTCAATCTGAAACAAGACGGTGGCAGAGTGGAAGTTACGTGTCAGTCACGTAAGTCATTCACTCATTTGTCAAAAGTGTCCAGTCACTAGCCTCTGTAAAGATCAAATTACAAGGCCCTCACAAGGGGTGACAGTGCTGGAGATTGTGTTGGCAAAAAACAGTGAAAAGGTACAGGACTGCTAAAACTTTTAAGATCTTGGAATAGTACAGATTGTCTTGGAACAACTTTTTTCATGGGACAAGGCAACAGATGACCACTTGCCTGATTCAGAATTGGATGAAATGTTTCATTATTCAGCCAGTGTTGTAATTTAGAACTTCTTCGACTGCGAAGTCCACTGCCAAATATTGAACTGATTAGGAAGGAACAAATCTAGAGAACAGTGGACTCTGGAGGGTAAGTGCGCAAAGCTGAGATTGTAAAATGAATTAAAACTTCAGACACTTCCAGTTTGTAAAAATTAGGTTTCAAGGTGGAAAGTGCATGCAAAGTACTCGGTGGAATACTTTTTGTGTATGGTCTGAAGTCGTCATTTCATTTCCTAATCTTATCTTTGTGCATTTACCATCCAGTGCCCATGTTTCAGTTTCTGCCCCCCCCCCACCAGTTTAGTATTAGAAATCGGTACTCCAACAGCACTTGACTACAATACTGGACTCAGCCATGGGGCGGCACTCTTGTTTAATTTCCATCAGAGTTCCTGCTCAAATGTAGGGCAATATTCAAGTTTTTGAAGCGCATGGCATTGGCCCATGAGACAGCCATGGTAGGATGATTGTTGGACAAGTATGGGTAGTAAATGGAACAGAAAGGGGGACAGGGCCCTGTTAAGATCCTCATTTTATCATTGAATACATTTCCAAGAAATAGAAAGTGGACTCGTAATATTGTAATCTGTAGTTAATATACCTTGCTCGCCTTGTTGTGCGTGCACATCATCTGTGTCACCCAGACTGCTGCCCTTTTGTGAATGTTCCGCATTCCAAATAGAATTGCAGTGGCACAAGACCACATCCAGCGGTTGTTCTTTCGGTCACAGAATGATCGTTTTACTTTAATAGTCATTAAAGTGCTACGGATTCTTTATACAGAATGATCGGTGAAAGGTGAACATGAACAAGGTCTTCCGCAAACAAATGCCAGCATATGTGCACTCAAGGTTACTTCTGTATATAAATCATACTAAAAAAACAAATCCCCCCTTTCAAAAACAAAAAAAAACAAACCCACACAATAGAGGTAAAGTGGAAGTGTGAATCATCAAAGAAGGCTCTGTAAACACGCTAACTCTATCTGCTTATTCAGGGAGATCTCTCCCCACCCAAGTAAATCTTGAAACAGTTTTATTCCATGTGTGTTTAACGTAGCATGGGGCTGTGCTGTGGACAGTAAATTTTGTTAAGTTATTCAAAATGTCAGGGGCACTTGTAGGTCATGTTCCAGCCAGGAATTTTGTTCTTCCAAAGTGGGTTTTGTTCCCTTCTTCCTCATACTTGTATAAGGGGCACCAGACTAGACACCGAGACTAGCTGCTCCAATTTGATTAGTACTTCTTTGATAGACTCTGGCCGTGTCCGAAACGGGCTTCTTGAGCTACGGCTAGGTCTATTGTCTGCGTGTCTCTACCCATTTCTAATGGAATGAAGACCTAGACCTAGCTCTAGACAACAGATTCGGATGCAGCCTCTGTTACTGAATAAATGATATTTGTAGCCTCCCTCAAAAAAAAAAATCTGAGCTGAGAACCAGTCTCAGGCAGTATGCATCATTCCAATATGCTTTGGCTGGTTTCCTGTTTTCGGGGGGCTCAGTTCTGTGTTTAACAAATTTCATGTGCTCGTCTGCTCCTTTAAATGTTGGTCCTCAAAGCTTTGAGGAAGCACACGTCTGGATTCAACACAAGTGCTGTCTTTTTACTTTTTTTGCGGATCATGAGCTGCCATGTGGCAGCTGAGTCAATTACAAATCACCACAGGTCCCTACAAGACTGTCACAAGTCATCTTAGTCAAGTGGTAGGCTATTCAAATGACCTCTGGGAAACAAGTCCTTGTTCCACAGTTCATGCCGTTACTTGTGACTGGTCTTGTGATGGACTCACAAGGATTAGGAGTGTCAGTGTTTTCCACGAGCGGTCTTGTAGCATGCATGCACACCGTGGTCCTCCGCACTTATGTCTCACACATTTTACACTTGACTAGGCCACATTATTGCCTGAATGAAAGTCGTGTCGTTTTCAAAGAGTCCTTCTGAAAACCATGTAATAGTTAAAATATGAATTCTCTCATAAGCTCTTTACCGAATCAATTTGCTTTCCCTTGGCAGTTGACATGAGACATGATGATTTTGCAACTAATCAGGAACTCGGCGTCAAGAAAATGACGTTTATTACGTGCCATCTTCAATGAAGCGTGTTGAGTTCACATGCAGTTTTTATTGCATTTAGTGGAAGTCTATTTTGGGATTTGTAGAGATTTTCACTTTGAATTTGTGCAGGCCATTTGAATCTGCCCCGCTGTAGACTTTTCCAATGTTCCAAAGCATCTTTAATCTTTCTCGTTCCATGAAGTTCTGATTCAGTGGAGTGAATGAAACCTCTGCTTCTGTTCGTGTTGCTTCACTTTGTAAACACACTGAAGAACGTCACCAAAAATAAAAAAATACATTTGACGGCTCTTTTCAGAGAATCAGGTGGCAAGCCAATTTCTTTGAGTCACTTGTAATTCAGCCTGTCAACATTTTGGACTCATTTTGATGCATCTTTTTGTGGCAGGGAAATCGTCGCAATTAGTGAAGTGTAGAAAAATGTCCGTCAGCTTCACTACTGTCGCACTTTAACTTGTAACTTGAACCCATTTTTTGTAAATCACACAAGCACTGTAACTGACTGAACTTTTCTCAGCTCTATTTATGAATTTGTTTAGAATTAATGGTGTCTATTTTTTAGTATGTGAAGACCGTTACCATATGTGGGACATGTTGTATCATGTTGCTCTTTGGATAAATAAGTTCAAATGACTCTTATTGCTTGCATCCCGTCTGTAGTGGTAACCCTTGCCATATCATGTTCTTCTCAGCGAAAGTAGGGGCGGTTCCATGAAAAAACAGAAGGATAGATAGCATCAGGATTTATTGTAAATAGGTGTGACTCGTCAGGTGCCCGGCAAAAGGGCATAAGTGCACTTGGGCCCTTTCGCTGGGAAGCATGATCACAGCAGAAAAAATTTTTCCAGCAAGAGGGCATAAGAAACACATTCTCTTTATTTAGTAAAAACGGATACAATTTACTACAAAATCAACCTGGGCTGTACTAATAGCAACCTTTGAACAACTGATTAGAGGACTTGGGCATTTTTCAAAACTTTTTGCCAAGAAATCTTCATATTTCATTAAAGTACAATCGTTGCATACTTTCGTCCTTTCGCCGCGAAAAGTTTTTTGCAGTGATCATGCTTCCCAGCAAAAGGGCCTAAGTGCTTATGCCCTTCTGGTAGGCACACGACGAACTAATCCCAAGAAGTTTAATCTGCTTGAAATTCCTACCCATCACTCCACTGCATCTGCACTTCAACTGCAACCCTCGGAAATCATTTGAACTTGTATTGAGATGTATGAAACCACAGGTTTGTGGGAAATTTTGTTCATGTTCACAACAAGACAGTTTATCCATCTAGGGAGTTCAGTAGAACAGTGAACAAGCCTTAGATTTTTCAAATTGTCGTAAAGCCTTTTTTTCCAATTTGGAATCCTTTAAATTGTTACACCACTGGTTACCACTGCTGAAAGGAGTACCCAGTGCTTTGGCCAGATCAAAGTCTACATGCTGGGGTGTCATCAAGGTATACTGCAGGTGAATAGAAAGGGAAGAGCATACTAAAGTCTGGCTTGTAGTTTCAAGCATGAAAATAATAGAATTCAACCATACGCAGCTCTCAGAGTGTTGATTTGGATTCTGCTGAAATCAACAGACTCAAAACCTGTAAAACCTGGAGGTTTCTTAGCAGTTCTCAGATGACTGAAATTCTGACAGATTACGTTCATTTGGATGTTGTTGGAAATTACAGGTGAATAAACAGAAGTGATGCCAATAAACAATTCAGTAATCAGTTCTCTTGAGGTATTGATTTATTTAGCAATTTTATTCTACTTACAGACAAAAATTTGCACTTGACACTAAATAATCATTTTCCCCTTAGAATTCGTTTTGGATTTTGGTAGGCCAACCGGAATGGAAACCCAAATTCCTGAAGTCTGGTGTACTGTGAAAGATTACACCCTTGGCCAAAGTGTAAATGACTTATGCATAACCGTCAAATTATGCAATTTGTTGAGATGTATATATTATTGTAATATTTAAATGACAGCATTGTAGAGCATCCACGATATTGTAATAATGTTATGTGTCAATGATGAGAAAGGTAATAAGAATTTTAATTTTAAGTCATGGTCATGTGTATGATTTTGCTTTATTTGACTCTGTGTTCATGTGTCGATGGGAAACCCTTTGTGAAATCTGGCAACCTTGTTCCCATGGGTATGATCTTGCCCCACCATGTTTAAGTTCCCACCGTGCCTTGTGCGATCTTAACCCCTGGTATTGTATGATTTAAATATCCCACTATGTGGAAGATTCAAATGAGGACAATATAGTCAATACGTTTACACACGGCACAGATTAACGAGTGCATAGATGCAGAACACCTGGGTGCGAACGTGTAGCTTATGAAATACCCGTGCAATCCACTTAACATTTTTGTATATTCATCCTGAATAGCCAAGGGTCATTTTCATATTTACACAACCAGAGGCTTGTGAAGGAACGTGCATGTAGCCCATGGAATCGAGGTTGGAACTTTGCTTTCTTTAGAAACTATTTCAGAGGTGCTTAAGGCAGTTTGGGACAAGATGACTTGCCAAACTGAGAATTCGGTAAAATACAATATCATGCAATACAACATACGTGTGCCTTTGTTAGATGTTTCTTATTGGGTTGGGAGTTGTACATGACTACTGCTTGATGTGGATCCATTTTTTACTTTTGAATGGTGTTTAGGTGTTTCAAAAGGCTTTAACAGTCATCTCTTTTTCTTTCAAATTTCCCCTTTTTTTCCTTTGTTTGACAACCCCCTCCCCCGTGACCTGCCAGTGGACCCAGCCTTTGTACACATATTTGTTTCTGGGAATGCTATGAGTTATACAGCATGAGAAAAACAGCTGCATATAATGATTAACTTGGAAGAAAAAGGAAATTTCATACATGTTCTTGTCCAAACAAGGCCACCGTACCATTGTCCATAATAATGCGCCCACAAAAAACCGTGAATGTATAATTGGACCAAAATAGCGCCGCCTGTTGACTCTCGGGAAGAGGTTGGCGTCCGGTTTTCACAGAAACTTCAAGATTATGGCCAGAAGTTCACTTTTCGTTTCAATTTTATCGGGGTTAGCCAAGCAATTGTTTTTTATTCGCCTTTCCCAAAGTTATACCCGAAATAGTAGTGAACTATACGCTCAGCTCTGAATATAGCCGCCCGCCTCTATCCGATCCAAAATAGGCCCACACTGCAGGTTGGGCGTTTTTGTGAAAGAAATACCCCAGAGTGGAAACTACCAGTCCCAAATTCGTGATATATACAAATATCTCTATGATCCCTCCAGATTATGGCGTGTCTTATTTATATTGTAAAATCCTGCAGATTCACAAAATATTAATGAGCTCGCGCGCAGAAATCCAACCAGAAAAATTGAAGAACTTGGTGGGATGCACCCGCAAGGTTCACCCCCGGCATGGGGCATTTTGCGTCAACGGCTTTGGGCATGGTCTTCGCTTACCGCACCATGCCCTGTGGTGAGCAGCCGCGGGGCCTCAGCCTAGCCTCATCGTAAACGAGGCGTTCTCATGTCACATGTTCTCACCATAAAAGTGGTATAGCGCCACCTATCGACTACGCTGTCAGACGCAGTGACTTGGCGTAAGCAGTTGGCGATTTACAATGGGTGCGTTCGATTAACTTACACGTGTAAGTCAAACTTACACGAGGGCGTTCGTTTAGCCATCACGTGATGTTCGTGCCTGCCCTGGTGTCAGCCACCACTACCCCCAGCAGCGAGCGGGTCTCTGGAGGTTGCCCGAGTGTAATGACGTCACGGATGGACTGTTCGAGCATGGACGTACATGATGGAACGAGTCGGGGACTTGACCTTTTCCCCCGAATGCCTTGAATAGTGCGCAACCATGAGTTTGCAACGCGTTGGCCAGTCACAGCGCGCGAAATTTGTTGACCCTTTTCGAACGCGCATTGGGTCGACAAATTTCGCGCATTGTGATTGGTCAACGCATTGCAATCTCTTGGTGGCATACTATTGTGAAACGCCCGTATTCTTTTCATGTGAGAGTTGATTGTGAAAATCTAACGTTGGAAAAGCTGACATATTCCCAACATACATGTACATGCAACCATTTTACTTAAAAAATCGTTTTATCTCTTTTGATTCTAATGCCAGAAATTGATTGATTCTTTTTTTCTTCTTCAGAAAATACCATTAAATCATTTTGGCTATAAAACAACAGGAAAGGAGACCGGATTAGATACAGCAATGTCCAAGTCGTGCCAACAGGAAAAAAATCACAATTGTAAAGTATTTTTACAGAGCACTAAAAATCCCACTTAGATTAGAGACTAATAGCAAAAACGATTTGAAGGGATTTTCTGAAGAAAAAAAGCTGAACAAAGACAGAAAACCTGAAAGAAAATTATCAAAATCGCACCCCTGTAGTTTTCAATGGCCTAACACTTCTTGCCGCAAAGCCATTTGTGCGCATGCGTACGCAATGCCTCAATCTGAATAACGCTTCAGCGGGGAAATAAATAAAACACAAGTACCCACCCTTGCTCAGCCTCTATTGATCACAGTGTGGTAATTTGTGTTTCAATAACTATCATTGAAAAATCATTTTACGGCAATTTATTTCAAATCAGTTGTCACTGTGTTAAATTTTAGATAAATGAATAATTTAAGGTGAATTCATTTTGGGTAATGAATGCGAAAAGACCAATGCTATCAGCGCCTGTTTGATTTGTGCATCGAGCCGGTTTCATTCACCCGCTACCGGTCCCTTACTACACGTTCGGACGGAGGACGTACATGTACGTGTAAGACGTCATTGAGACTACGTACGGGAGGGAACCAATCTAGAATGATTTATACTAAGGTGACAGAAGAAACTGTTCTATTCCACAGGGAAAAGCCGAGAGGAATGGAACATTTCATCTGTCACCGCAGAAATGCGAAATATTCATTATTTGTTTTACACAATACCTGCATAAATATTCTTCTGTTAAGAGAACAAAATGCCATTTGCAAACCAGATTCGTGCCTGAAGCGCCACCCACCGGTAGTTTTGTGTATTTGATAGACTCGTTCGCTTCCTTCAGTTATTTTTTATCTTTCTTACTGTGTATGAAAAAAATTGAAATGGGGATGAAAACCACTCAAGTGAAATGAAATTCTATGTAACGAGTACTGTTGAATAGAACAATACATTAAATGACATGTGATCAGTGATCCACCAATCACATGACGGGGATGCACGCAGGTACTGTATGAATAGAAACAAATTTCCAACCTCCAAGCGGGGCACTGGCTTATGGGGGGGGGGTAAGTCCGTGGGTTTTCCAAAGCGTATTTTAGTGTTTTTTTCGGTAATACGAATTTCCATATTAATTTTATGGGCAAAAATGTGATATCATTCCGAACAGAAAATGGTTGCATTCAGTTGATTTCATCACAAATAAAGTTTGCTAATTTGCTCGCGGTACTTACTTGCCTTTCTTTTCGCTATTCATTGCTGTCTTAAGAGCACAGTAATAAGTCAGCAATTAACCCTTGCTCAAAGACGTTTTCAGAGAGCAAGGTTTGGCTTCACAATTTGAACAGCAAACTTCTAAACTTAACGATGTCTTCTAAGAGTGACATCACACCAACACTCGCACATATACTTTTTAACCTATTTAAAAAGACAAGTGCAATTTTCAGTACAACTAGTCTAGGGATGCCAAATAGTTCTCAAACGAATAAGAGTATAAAGTAGCACAAAAAATTGTATACGAAAACATGACACGAACCCTTTAAACCCGAACACGCCCCTGCGCAGTGAAGGGGGGGGGATTACCGGTGGGGATGTCTTGACCGGTCCTTCCCTCTCCGCGTGTTTTCTTTTCGCTCGTCAAGTTGATGAGGCCAACAATCCTAAATACTAAAGTGGGTGTTCATTCAACTGTTTGGCGTGTACATCATCACTATACAGCCCTGGCTGCTTTTGTTACAATCGTTTCTCCGCTGACGAACATTAGGGGAACGTATTCGTCATTTCTCGGAATCGAATCCTTTATTCTTGCTTTGTCCATGAACTTGGCGAGTTTTGATGTCACGTACCACATCACATTACACGTCGTATTGATGACTGCCTTGTCCAAAATGTACTTGTGCCTGGTGCGTGTAGTTTGTCATCATGATAGGTTGAGTTTACGCGCACTAAACCCTCAGAATCACGTGAAATACACTTGATTGTTATATAATATAATCTCCTTACATGACCGATTGCGTTTTATTGATTATGAGGGATTTGCTTTTTGATGATAAATAAACCGTCGGGGCTTGTGGCACGTGGCGATAGTTTTAGTACCAACTACACGTTACAATTTATAAGCAGAAAAAATGTCAAAGTTGACCGGACCTGACCTAATTTACGGACGATGGCCATTTTCGGGAAGCGCTTTACGAATTTCCGCCGAGAACTACCTCTTTTGTAACAGGTAGGGCTTATTTGCTGTGCGTAGTATTTGTTGTGTTTTCACCGGGGAGGTTTTACATGTGTTAAGTTGCATCACTGGTGGTTCAAATCGGTACTGAAACCGAGTTGTTGTGGGGTTCTTTTGTGAATGTACTGACGGCAAAATGCGCCACATTGCATACATCATGTACAGTGTTTAATGTACATGTACATGTACAATGTACCTCAACTGCTGCGAAGCATTTGTTTGTTTGAGCAGTGTTCATGATGTTGCATGTGTGTGTGTGTACGCGTAGGCACGCTGTACCGCGGTATCACAGTAACGCTGCTTCAAAGACATGTAAAATGTAACTTTCCTTATTAAATAATGAAAGTGCCATTGGCTATGATTTTATGAACATTCAGCATGTACAGCTTCAGGCTACATTCGATGTCAGAATCCTTGAAATTTATTAGTGAATCCTGTTTATTTATGTACCTGTAGGCCCTAATGTAAAAATTGTAATGTAAGATGCACAGCCAGATAGTGTGTGTTTGCATTTTTGTCATCCTGATTTAAGTAGGCCCAGTTCCAGATATTTCCTAATTCTAGATTGTTTAAAACGAACAGGTTCCTGTAAATTGTATTATTGTACGACTAGCCTGATACCA